TGCCTATAATCCCACCACTTTGGTCAAGGTCTTGAACTCAAGACCTCACCTGAGGTCAAGAGTTCAAGACCAGCCTGGCCAACACAGTGAAACCCCCATCTCTACCAAAAATACAAAAATTGGTTGTATGTGGTGACGCACGCAGTAGTCCCAGCTACTCAAGAGGCTGAGACAGGATAATCACTTGAACTCGGAGGTGGAGATTGCAGTGAGCTGAGATCATGCCACTGCAATCCAGCCTGGATAACAGAGTGAGTCATCCCCCCCCCAAAAAAAAAAAAAGAAAAAGAATAGGAGGTTCCATAGGCAGCTCTTGCCATGAAGTCATTACTTCCTTTACAGAATATATTAATTATAGATTTTGGTTCTTGAGATGTACACATCTTTTTTGTTTCTTGAAATAATACTTTTCAAGACTGTCGTCTTGCTGTGGATCTTTTTTCTGTATAGTTTAAAAGTCCAAACTAACCAATAACTTTGAAATGGCTAACTTGGAAAAGAAAATAGAATATGTTTCTTGCATTTTGGAACATTGACTTGAAGTGAACTCTGTTTTCAGTCATCAAACTTAAAAATGAGAAAAATATTCCATTTATCTTTCACTGAACCTTCTTGTTTTTTTCTAGATAACACATAGTACACATTTTTTCTCGCCCTGCCAAGGTTGTTGTTATTACTAGAAAAGAACTCTTATTATAAACTTTATTTTCCAGAAGAAAAATAAAAATAAAATAAAAACTTTATTGATTGGGTCTACTCTAAATTAATGCAACTTAAACTCATTTAAACTTTCACTGCTGACTACACATCGTAACCCTTTTTTCTACTCCTCATAACTCCTTTATCTATTGTCACTTAAGGCAGTGGGTTGAAACCCCTTCTCTTTATCTGTCTCTAACTTTACCTCTGCCTACTCACTCTCAGCAGACTTTAAAATCTCAAGTTGTCTTTTTTCAGCATATTTTTCCCCCGTCTTAGGAGAACTATACGTCTTTCCAGAGTTACTGTTACTCTTGATTCCATTTACTGTTTCTCCTATTAAATGTGGCTCTCTTCCCTGGTCGACACAAAATGTAGGTGGTTTCTAATGCTTAAAACAAAAACCATGATGTGTAATGACCAGGCAGTGAACCTCTCTTCACCGGCAGAAGTTCCTTGCCTGCATTGCTAAAATACTTACTCTCTATGATCTGAATTCTGTGTAATTTATTCTTCTGAAGCAAAGACCTCACTCCCTGCTAAAATCATAGCCTTTTTTTTCTACCCCCTATTCTTCTTGAAGGAGGTACACAGCATGGCTCCTTTACTAACACTATGCCATGAACAGGAATCTTTCGATTAGAATCTCAATCTCAGCTGCTTCTCTATAAATGGGGCAAATGTCTACATCTCAGGAGTACTGTGTAATTTAAATAAGATAAACTCCAGTGCCATCTCACATATGTATTATAGCACTCAAGAGTCTAAAATGTAGTGTAAGAGGCAGTATATCTTAATGATTAAGTATGTTAGCTGTGCAGAATTAGACTAATGTGGTTCAAATCTCAGTTGTGCCATTTATTAAACTGTGTGGAATTAAGCAAGATATTTGACCACTCAGTGCTTCTATCTCATCTTCCAATTGGAATGGTTATCACAGGGTAGTTAGAATAATGAGGTGAGAAAATGGCAAAAAGAGATATTCATCACGTCCTTAAGCGCAGTGGTTGGCACTGTTCAATACATGTTTGCCACTGCTGCATAATGAGCATTCTTACTAATCATCAATAGTTGTAACTGACCTTTACAGAAAATTGAAACACTTGAGGGCAAAGATTGTTTTTTTCCTCTGCCAAAATAGAAGCAGGGCCTTTATCCAGCTTGTAATGTTCCTGATGTTAATTTATTCAACAGGCTTTATTTGAAAACGGGCTAGCTATGTGTACCTTACTGCCATGTATCTAATTAGTTCCTGAGTCCTCGAGATTCTCCATTGTTGAACTTTCACAGTGGACAAGTGATACTGCAGGATCGCGTGCTTTGGTGGAACAAGCAGAGATCTCGGGTGTGGTGATGAGACGAGTTAGTTTACACCTCTGCTGTTTGAGCACATTACTGAATTATCTGAGCCTCGGTTTTCTTACCTATGCATTGAGGTTAAAAATAGACATTCACACATGCTGCCTAGCGCAAAGCACAGAAATACTAGCTTTTCTCTTTTTTCTTCCTTTGCCAAGCCTATTGTGGTCTCATTGCCTCCCACCTGTCTAGACTATCATGCTATAGCTTTCAATCTGTCATTTCACTCCAGTGTATTCTACAAACTGACAAGTTAGCGTTTTTGTTTTACAGGAGCCTCTGTGTTCCTACTCAACCCTATGTTACAGTCTTTTACTAGTCTTATTCACAAAGCCAGTGCCTTCATCCAATGGTTCTCAAACTTGGCTGCACATCACAATTAACTGGGAGAAATTTAAAATCACCTAGAGATTGTAATGGAGTTGTTCTCCGCAGGAATCTGGGTATTCATATATTCTTAAGCCCCCCAAATGATACTGCGGAGTCAGGATTAAGAACCACTGCTCTATTCAGATGGCTCTGCTTCCCTGTCCTTAAACACAATGATATTTTTCCCCAGTTGTCCTTCTCATTCCATCTGGGACCATTCAAATGATAACTTCTACCTAAAGTCTCCCCACTTACCCTGACATAGCAGGAAAAGTTTTCTCCTCCCTCTGAACATCTCTGGTGCTTTACTTCAGTGTGCTTCATTCTGTTATACCTCGCATCATAGTTATTAGTATACATGTTCATGTTTCTGTAAACCAGGTGCATAAGCTTTTGAGGAAAACTACATTTTTTCTATAGGCCAGTGTAGGCATTTTAGAAAGAGGATCTTAATCTCAACAGCAACCCTTCAAGGAAAGTATTACTCCTTTTGTTATAAAGAAGGAAATTGATGCCTAGAGAAGCAAAGCGACTTGCCTAAGAATTTTCAACTAGTAGCTATTTAATTGTAATTTTTCTTTCTGTGTTACCTACCTCCTGCTGTGTTGTCAGAGCAGGAAATAAGTCCGGTAAATGCTGAATGCACATATATTTGATGTCAATAAACGTATTTTTTTTCTAGTCTGTCTTTTGCCTTGAGTTTACTTATAGTGTTTACTAGTTATTTAGATTGTTTCCATTGGGGCTATAAGAAACTGCTGTAGTAAACACGTTTTGTATGTAAGTCTTTTGTATATATTTAAAAGTATACCTACAGGTTAGATTTCTAAAAGTAGAAGGTGTATTAAAATTTAGGCATCTATTAATTTTTTTTACTTACAGGTTTATTGAGACTTAATTCATATATCATGCATGTCACAATTCAGCGTTTTAAATATTTTCTCAGAGTTGTTTAGCCCTCACCACAATCAGTTTTAAAATATTTTTTTCTCCAAAAGAAACCCTGTTTTCATTAGTAGTGACTCCTTAAACTTCCTTTCACGCCAGCCGTGGCGACCGCTAATCTACTTTCTGCTCTATAGAATTTGCCTGTTCAGGATGTTTCATAGAAATAGAAACATACACTCTCTGGTGTTTGTGACTGATTTATTTCACTTAGTATAATGTTTTTAAGTTCACCATGCTTTCGCATGTACCAGTACTTTATTCCTCTTTATTGATGAATAACATGCCATCGTATAGATGTACCACATTTATTCATCTGCCAACTAATGGACATGTAGACTGTTTCCACTTGACCATCATGAATAATGCTGTGTTTCATGTACTGGTTTTTATGAGATGTATATTTTAGTGTTTCTTTGCCATAGGCCATGGAGTTGAAATCCTGGATCATATAGTAACTCTTTAACCTCTTGAGGAACGTGTGTTAAATTTTGATAGGTAATGCCAAATTTCTTTCTAAAATTAAAAGTATAAAGTTATGCTTTCAAATGTGTAGGAGAGTTCTCATTTTTCTGCATCCTGCCTGACACGTAGAATTGTGCATCTTTAACATTTTGTCAGTTTATTGACAAGTGATAGCCTGTTTTAATTCACATTTCTCTGGTGCTCATTGAGCCTGAGCTTGATCATCTTTTCATGTGTTTGTCAGCTTTTAGTATTCTTCTGTGAATTACCTCTTCCCATGTTTTTGGCATTTGGGGAGGAGGAGTTATTTTCTTTTGTTCAGTTTCTTTTGTTCACACAGCTCTTTATAAATTCTTAGTTCTTTGTCTGTTTGACCTTTGTTGCAAATACTGTCGCCCAACCTTCTCTCTCTTATTAACTTTGTTAATGATATATTTTCTTATATCCAAAGCTTGCTTTTTTTTTCTTTTTTTTTTTTGAGACAGAGTCTTACTCTGTCACCCAGGTTGGAGTGCAGTGGCGCGATCTTGGCTTACTGCAACCTCTGCCTCCGGGTTCAAGTAAGTCTCCTGCCTCAGCCTCCCTAGTAGCTGGGATTACAGGCACATGCCACCATGCCCAGCTAATTTTGAATTTTTTGTAGAAACAGTGTTTCACCACGTTGGCCAAGCTGGTCTTGAACTCCCAACCTCAGGTGATCCACCCACCTTGGCCTCCCAAAGTGCTGGCATTTCAGGCGTGCGCCACCACACCCAGTTGGCTTTCATTTTTGTGATGTTAAATCATTTGGTCTTTTTTTTCATGGCTTCTATTTGGGGTGTTTTTTTTTTTTTTTTTATCATATCAGTTTTATGTGTCTCTCACCCCAAGATTTTTTATTTTAATTTTTTAGAGATGGGGTCTCCCTCTGTCACCCAGGCCATAGTGCAGTGGTGCAGCCTTAGCTCACTGCAGCCTCGAACTGGGCTCCAGCGATCCTTTTGCCTCAGTCTCCCGAGTAGCTGAGACTATAGGCATGCACCAGCATTCCTGGCGCCAGATTAAACTAATTTTCTCTTGTATTTTCCAAAAATGCTTTTGTGGACTTTTTGTTTTTTAATGTTTGGCTCTTTATCTAGATTATGCATTTATAAATGGTATGAGTTAGAGATCTGCCTTTTGACTTTTTCTCAAAGAAGAATCTAATGTCCTAATTCCAGTCAGTTCTCCACAGATAGGAAGTACATTTTTTTGTTTCTCCATTTTGTCTCTCCATTTTTTTTCCTTCTCCAATAGAATAGAAATAAACTGCAATAGAACTAATCAAACTAATTGCATTCTTGCCCACTCAGTCTTTCACTGTGACTAGTGTGGTATTTTTCAAACTCAGTGTGATCATGTTTCTCTCTCACTTAAAACCATTTGATGGCTGGCTTTCCCTGTGCACTTACAGTAAAATCCAAACTCCTTCTAAGGCTCTAAAATCCTTTTGTGGTCTGTCTCCTCTTTACCTGCCATCTGTCTTTATTTTGTACTATTGTATATCTGTTGTGCTCAAGTTTTCTTTGATTTAGGTTTTCTGTGAATTAATTTTTTCGTGGTCTCTTTTTTGTCTTAAAGGAATTCCTCAGTAATTGTACACTGTTTATTTTTGTTCATATTGTATATTTATTGTTTTTGTATGCTTATTTGATGATCATTTTTATTTTATAATTTTCTTTATGGAATAGCGATAGAAGAGGCAACTCTTGTAATTCAGAAACCCAGAAGTTTCTTGGTTTCTGGTGGGTTTTTTTTTAAAATAGAAGTCAGTATTATAGCCAATCAAATGCATAGCTAATTGAAAGATGATGGACTCATACATAGAATGATGCATATGCTAATTAACTCAGTTTATCCATTCTACAGTGTATACATATTTCAGAACATCATGTTGGACACCATAGGTATATACAACTTGTATTTGTCAATTAAAAAATAAACAGAAAGGGATATTACAGTTATGCCAAAAAATAGTCATGTTTCTCTGGTACCTGTTTGATTATACTCCATTTAATACGTGGAACTCCTAAAAATGCAATCAGGAACTGAATGACTCTTCATGGTTTGTTTCATTCTGTTGTGTAAGATAATCAGTTAGGCTGGGCATGTTGGCTTGTGCCTTTAATCTCAGCACTTCGGGAGGCCAAAGCAGGAGGATCACTTGAGGCAAGGAGTTTGAAACCAACCTGGACAAGATGGCAAGAGCCTATCTCTCATATAGTAAATTAATACTGGCAAAGAAAACAAGAATGTAATCACAAGGTAATTAGGATGTTTTGCAAATGTAGAGTACATGCTTGGGACCTGGAATCAGTTAAGATTTCTGATTTTTTTCAGATTTGGAAATACTTGCATTTTTCCTTACCAGTTTAGCAACCCTAACTGAAAATCTGACATACAAAATGCCATAATGAGCATTTCCTTCAAAAGTCATATTGGCTCTCAAAATGCTTCAGATTTTGGAGCGTTTTGAATTTCAGATTTTCAGATTAGGGTTACTTGAAAATAGATTTTTTTGAGGCTATTGAGAAAGTCTCATACAAATAAATTCTACAAATTATTGTGAGAATATTATATCCTTACTGTATTACAACTTGGCATAAAAATAAATTTTCCTAGTGTGATACACTTGAAGCTATCAGAAGATTAAAAATGTTAAGTAATTCTGTTTAAGAAAAATAGGCATGCTACATTTTTTAAATATTGCCATCCAAACTAGATGGCTAAGCATATGTTTACTGATCAAATCTGAATAGTTCATTACTCAGTGATTATGAACAGCTAGTTTGCTGCATTTAGTAACATAATATTTATTAGACAGTTGTTTAAAAATCTAGGGAAATAGATGATGTAGTATCTAATTGTAACACTAGGTGGTGGTAACTGATTTTAGAAATTAAATTATGAAACTTTCCCAATGTATGCATTCTTCTTTTTACATGAAAACATTTAATGCTGCTTATATTTCAGAAGGAAAGGGAGAGAAAAGTTTGCAAAGATATGAATATCCATTTATACCCAATTGGGCTGTTTTTCTCCTCTCCCTTGTTTTGCCTTTTTTTTTTTTTCTTTTTTCCAAGACATAGTTTTGCTCTTGTTGCCCAGGCTGGAGTGCAGTGACACAATCTTGGCTCACTGCAAGCCTCTGGGGTTTAAGTGATTCTCCTGCCTCAGCCTCCCAAGTAGCTGGGATTATAACACCCAGCTAATTGTGTTTTTAGTAGAGACGGGGTTTCATCATGTTGGTCAGGCTGGTCTTGAACTCTTGACCTCAGGTGATCCACCCACCTTGGCTTCCCAAAGTGCTGGGATTACAGGCATGAGCCACCGCGCTCCGCCCCTTGTTTTGCTTTAACTGCTCTAACCCAAAGATTCTCAGACCTTTTAATCTCATGCTCTTTACACTTTTATTGAGGATCCCAAAGCAAATAATGTTTTTCATGTTAGGGATTGAGAAATTTTTAAATATGTATTAATTCACTTTAACAGATATATGAAAAACTATTCTACATCACTAATCATGAGAGAACTGGAAATCAAAACCACAGTGAGATGTCCTCTTACTCCAGTCAGAATAGCTATTAAAAAAAAAACAATAGAAGTGCGGCAAAGATAGAGAAAAGAGAACTCCTGTATACTGTTAGTGGGAATGTAAACTTGTACAGCCACTGTGGAAAACAGTATGGAGATTTCTCAAAAAACTAAAAATAGAATTATCATTTGATCCAGCAGTCTCCCTACTCAGTATCTACCCAAAGACAAAGAAATCAGTATATCAAAGGGATACCTGCACATGCATGCTAATTGCAGCACCATTCACAATAGCAAAGAGTTAACCTGAGTGTCTATCAACAGGTCAATGGATAAAGAAAATGGAATTCTATAAACAATGAAATTCTATTTGGCCATAACAAAGAATGAAATCCTTTCATTTGTAGTATACATGGATGGAACTGGAGATCATAATCTTAAGTGAAATAAGCCAGGGACAAAAAGACAGAATCACATGTTCTTTTATGTGGGGTCAAAAACAATTGATCACATGGAGGTAGAGAGTGGAACAGTAGATAACAGACTAGGAAGGGTAAGTGGTGGGACGTGGGGGAAGCACGAGTGGAGTGGGTTAGAGTACAAACTTACAGTAAGATGGAATAAATTCAGTATTTGATAGCAGAGTAGGATTACTATGCTTAAAACTGCATTGTACTAGAGCAATGGACACGGACACTCTGCATAACATGGTTTGATCATTTTTTAGTATATGTGTTTAAAAATTTCACATTTACTTCCTCAATTTGTAGAAATGAAACATAATTTTAAAAACTGTACAAGATACCCCTTATTAATATTAATATAAATAACACTTTTAATAAAATTACTTAAAATTAAGGAGAGTGACGTTGTTTTAAATTTTTGCAAATCCCTTTAATGCTTGGCTTATTACTAGACAGCCGGATCTTCATATATGCTTATAAATTTTGATACAGTATAACATATCATTCAACCTCTGTAAAAGTCTGTGCTTATGAGAGAGTAAGAGTAAAAAGGCAATTAACATCATATTATGAAAACCATTTTGATCTCATGTAGTCTCTTAAAGGGTCTTGTCCCTGAGGAATCCTAAACCACAATTAAAGAACCATTGCTCTACCCAATCTGTGCCTGTAAGACGCTAGTGACAAAATACAAACTGTATGTCTATGCACCTTCTATTAATTTTGGATTTACCATCCAGAAAGTTAAACTGTCAGCTCTTGCCTTACACCATCTATATGTTGTAGTTAAGGCTACATAGCAAAATGTTTGCAACAGAAATGACAGAGTTAATATTCTTACTACATTAATTGATAAAATATATCCTAATGGAAAAATGGATAAAACATGACCAGATGGTGAAAAGGATGCAAAATTATGTGTACATTGTATTCACAATGAAGATAATTGTTAGCCAGAAAGAAATGCTTTTTAGGTATATTATGGATACAAATATGTTATTAGATTACTTAATGTATGTTGGCTGAAGGGTATAGGTTATGAAAAGACTTTATTATCACATTTTAATTTTCTGTGTTGTGGCTGTTCTGACTTATCCACATTCATAACTTTATCTCTCATCTCTATGCTGATGATTCCCAAATCTTTTTCTCTAACCCTGACCTGTCTCTCCTGTATTCCTGAAACTTACTTCCAGCTGTTTATCCCTCTCTAGCTAGAGCACGTAAAGGTTCCTCAGTCCCAGCTTGTCTATAATCAAACTCGTGTTATCTCTTCACGTTCATCCAGAGCCTACTTCTTAATTCTTTGTGTTAATCACTATTTATCATGTTCCCCAGGCCAGAAGCATTTAAGGAAACTTTGCCAAATTCTTCATTCCTTAAATGCATTGATTTTTCATGCCTGTTTGTGGTTTCTTCTGCTTTGAATTTTCTTCTCATCCCCTTTTTGGCCTGGAAAACTATAATATGCTTCAAGATTCAACTCCCTGCTACCACTTCTATAAGCCTTCCCTAACACTATAAGCAGATACTCTCTATCAATCTATATGTGTAGAGAGAGAAAGCACATGTTTTCTTCGTCTAAGGCAGAGATCATTTTCTGTTCATCTTTATTTCCCCAGTCTTAAACACGGCCTGTGTTTGTTTACAGGAGAGACGGATGGCATTAAATGTCCATGTTTTTAGTATTAGGCAAGTAGAGTCACTGCTACCTAATGATAAATTTTACCAGTGATTAGCATATCCATTTGTTTGTGAAAATCCAAGTCAATTCAAGTTAGCCCTTTTACATGGGTATTAGGTCTCTCTTTCTTATTATATTTTTGTCAACAATTGCCTGGATTTCAGGGAGTAAATTCTTTCATTTAAAAAGTTAACACTGAATATCAAGTTTTATAAATACATTTAATTTATAATTAAAAGTATCACATTTACCCACCACAAACCTGATTTAATGGTATTTTATAATGAGTAGTACTGTAATGATTAGTTGACATTGCCTCTTAATAAATACATGCTAAATTTAAAAGTATAGTTTTGGGTAAAATAAAATTTTGGTATAGTATAAATATATATACATATAAGTATGCTTCATATTTATACACACTACTACAATGCTAAGTTTGTTTTCTTTTTTTTTCTTTTTTTCTTTTTTTTTTTTTTTTTTTGCAGAGCTTCTTGGTATACATGAACAAGCAGCTGTAGGATTTTTAACACTAATGGAAGCTTTAAGATACTGTAAGGTAAATTGATTTTTAAGGTACTTTGAATGTTTTTTGTTCAGAAGTCCACTATTGTGGATACTGTTTTGTTCCTATGACAGCACATTTGAGCACAGTGCTATTGTTCTGTACTGCTTTCTTCTTCCCTCCTATCACCCATCCTAAACCAGCAGGGTTATTAAGTGTGGTTAAGCTGGCTGATCATGCTGAGTTTCCTATGCCAAGTCTGTTGTTATTTTTTGTGAGAGGAGGGGCAGAACCCAGTACAAAATAATACAAGAAAACTATTCTTTTTTTAAATTGACATCTATTATTGAATCTATTCAATTGACCACTATTATTAAATATTTTATTTTTGGCAAATGGAAGAAGAAAGCACTGCTTCTTTATTACCTAACGAAGAATATGCTCACCAAAGCAACTGGTAATACTTTATCAGGCAAAGAGAAAGAATTGCCAGATGCCTGAAATTCTGACTTTTATCTATTCCATCTGAAAAAATGATTTCACACTAAAAAATATTTCAAGCATTTTATAGCATTAAGCTCTTTAACACACGCACTAGGGTTAGTGGAACTCTCATGTATTGCTGTTTATTTTATTGTTTCCCTATATAATCTGAAATAACCAATGGGTATTGTAAATAGTTTGAAATGGGATTTAAATCATTATTGACTTTCACTTCATAATATGTCATGGTTTGGGAGAAAGAGGTAAATCTCATTTTCTTTTTCATTAAAAAAATTTTTTTTTTTTTTTTTTTACATAGAGACAGGGTCTTGCTATGTTGCCCAGACTGGTCTCAAACTCCTGACCTCAAGTTATCCTCCTACCTTGGCCTCCCTCCCTAAGTGCTGGGATTATAGGCATGAGCCTAAGGCACCTGGCCTTCCTTCTCTATTTTAGAACAGGGTTCCATAGCAGTGGTTCAGATGATAATTATATCTAATAACAATAACTGTGGTTTATCCTCTTTCTTTTTTGTCACACAGTGTTTCTTTTTAATGGTGACGTTTGAGCACTGGGTGATACGCATATGATAAATCGGATTTGTCCTGCCCTTACTTGTTAGTAGTGATCATGTTGTTAAACAGTAGCAACTCTTATTTTCGGTGGCTTTAATTGTATTAAGCTAAAGCTACTCTGAAATAGCCTGGCAACTAGAGAATCAAACTGCGTCCCCTTCCCCCTAACAGATATGCACACACATTCAAAGATTCTAAGGAAAGTTAAGCATGGAGGGGTGGGGTGGGGCAGGTGGGATGTACACGCATGCCTGCATCTTGCATGAGGCTGGGGGTGGAGATTTTATATTTGGAAATATTTCCTGTGTATCCCGTAAGACCCTGATGGTCTTTGCACTTGCATTGCTCTTTCTACTGCTGTGCTCCAACCACACTGGTGTCTTTTCACTTTCCCAGACATGCCCAGCCCTCTCCAGCGCTTGCTGTCCTTTCTGCTTGGAGTTGTCCAGCTCTTGAAATGGATGGCTCACTGTCCCCTTCAGGCTGGACTTGAGATCATACCTCAGAGACTTTTTTCTTAACCAGTCCCTCAGTTATTCTTTTCCAGAATATTTAATAAGAATAATTACTCTCTAATGACCCTTTTTGTTTACTTATCTTTTTATATCTTGAGTTTGCTTTTCTATTATCTTCCCTAATGGAATATAGACTCTTTGGAAGCAGGGACATTGCTAGGTACATATTAGGTGCCAGGTACTCAGAAATATGTAATGAATGAATGGATATATTCACCAAAATTGTGAGGGTTTCTAAATGTGAGCTTTGCTTTGCTTTAATTTTTAGGTGGAAGAGTAGAATGTTTTTCTCCTCAAGATCTTAGCGGGAAGTCAGTCGCCACTGTATATTCTTCTGTTTACATATTGCTGTAGTGCTGTAGCAGTTAACTATGGTTTTAAATAAGATTTAAGGATTCTGTCAATGGTGCAGCAAAACACACTGATAGTTGGATAAGTGAAAGGCAAAACTCTGTTCCCTACAACTGCAATTGAGAGAGGGAAGCCAGGCAGGGCCACATGCAGGATTGCATCTGGGGACTGGGGTACAGTAAGCTGGAGCCATAGGAGCAGCTATGTACAGCAAGTAGGATGAGGTCAGCTGGGTTTCCTGGGATCCCCTATAGATGGGCTAGTTTGA